AGACAAAGCATAAAAATGATGATTTAACAAAAGCTGCGAGCAGAAAAGGAGAGGTTGGAGTTGAAAAGCTCATGCAGATGAAGCTTGAATGGTCTATTCTCACCATCATAATGAGCACATACATGATTAATGAAAATATTTATCCTCCTAACCCACTGCAGTGAGTTAATATTTAATCCAAAGTCCACGTGAAAGCCCAACCTCTCCTGGTTCCTCACCTGCCTCCTTGTTTCCTTGGAAATCTCTGAACTCTGCAAACTGACCTGAGATCTGGCTCTTTGGGGCTGATCTGAGAACCACGCTGGCTTTTTCTGGCTTTCTGCATAAGTACCACACCTTTTGATCCCGAAACTGCCGTCTCACTTGGGACCTACAAGGTTTCTTAGATAATCCCAGAGAGTCAGTGCTTTGTAACACGTCTCACTTTGATATTCAAGGCAAAGCCGGACAGCCCACACATGAAAAGACATCCTTCCCTTTCTTCCCAGGCTTAATTTCATCTGCAAATTAAACATATCGAGATGGATATTTATAGAGGAATGCCCTGATCCTCCCGGGAGGGCCGGGGAGTCTCCAATGTGTAATTTTGCTTTAGGAATATGATTTTAATCTTGACTTTCTTCTGAGGCTGGTGGCAGGAGAGGAGAAGGGCAGGGAAGGGGGAATGCTGGTGGCAAGGCTCACTGAGCACTCCTCTGCTCTCACACAGTTTAAGCCTTGGGCTAATGCAGTGTAAGATGGTGGGGATGTACAGAAGGGACTAAGGTTCTTCCTGCTTCCCTGCCTTTGTCCTCTGCAAAGCTATCTCAGGACATGGTCCTTCAGAGGTGAAAATTTGTAGTTTTTAAAAAATGGGGTCTGTAAACTTTGCCAGCAAACATGTTCAGCTGTGGCTTGCCTAAAAAAAAACACAACAAACCAACAGGCCTGCTGTAAAAATGGTGCACAGATTAAAATAACTGCTAAGCCCTGGATTCTGATGGTCCTTTGTGACAAGGAGCTCACACAGAGTCATCCATTTCCCTTTATATCAGCCCTCCACCCCACACTCACACTGTGGGTAATTGCCAACACTAAATAAAACTACAAAACCTGAAATGTTTTGGCTTATGTCATTTCCAGATATGCCCTGGAGCAGAGGATAAAGGATTTTTATTTTGTTTTCCAGCTAAATATTTTCTTCTTTTTACCTTCTTGTTAAAGAATGACTCAATGCTGTTCTCTTGCCCAGCATCACTCACTTAAACCTCCATTGTGCTGCACACGCGTGTCTACACCAAATTTTGGTGCTGGGAACCCCACTAAGGGGGCCTGGCTTGGCGTATTGAGTCATTAGTGCAGGTTGTGATGATTGATGTTGTGTTGTGCTGCTGTTTGTAAGAGCTTGGTTGGGATGCTCAAGCCCATCACTGCCAACCCCCAGGCACGTGGTGCCATCCTTGCAGGTTATTCCAGATGGGAAGAGTTCGGGGGAGGGAAACTTCCAGGAAAGATGGTTTCAGTAGTATTAAGAAAAGGGACTTTGGTACATTACTGCATGCTATGAGGTATGTCTTTAAGCTTCAGTAAACTTTTGGAGCCCCTGGGAAGCTGGTAATGTGCCTTTGAAGGAAGCATGACTTATGAAATTGCAGTTTTTAGCTTAGCTGGGTAATGTTAATGAGAAAATATCGTGGGCTGTGGGTGGAAGTCTCCTGAATCCCATAAGTTAGGAATAAATTATTCTGTTTTCCTAAATGAAGCAGTGCAGTGCAATGCTGCTCCTAAATCAGGCTGATGGTGAGAGTTATTTATTAATTTGTACAGGACCAGACACGAGCTCAGGCAAATAAATACAAACTAGACCGCAGCAAAGAATTACAAACTTGGACTTGCTGTGGGCAAGAAAAGACTTTGCTGGGATTTTGAGAAGGAGCAGGTGGGTTTGGACCAGCACCCTGTGTGATAGAGGTGGCGTGAGGAGTTGGCACAGGGGTGGAGGTGGAGGGACAAATCCTCCTTTCTGCCAGAGATGCAGCAAAGATGATCAAAAAACCCCAGGCTTTCAACTGCAGTGCAGCAGCTTCTCAGTAATTAAAGCTTGAGATCACCAGCTCTGCCTGTGCCTGCTGCAGCCCAGCTTGCACATCAAAGGGAGATGTTTCCCATGGGGACAGGTCCCACAGCACCGGATTCAGGTTTTGATGGGCACTCTGGGCTGGTGTGTGAGAGTGATGGCCCAGGAAAGCCCCTTAACAGCAGCTCTTACTGAGCAGGTGATGACACAGCCCCCTGGGGTACCCAGGCTCGTGGTGACTCGGTGGTGCCCCATGTTCTGGGCAGCACAGGCTCATCCAAAGGGACCATCCCTGGAGCAGGGGGTGGCCCTTTAGGGCAGAGAGGGCTCCCAGCTCTGAGGGCTTGGGCTCTGCAGGTACCACACAGCCTCAGCTTCCCCTCCTGCCAGCACCTGGCCTCCTACCCAGAGAGGATTTATTCCTCCCTGAACAGGTCTCCAATGACGTTATTAATCAGGGAGATGGACGAGTACAACACACTTTATTGTGCACTGTGGATGAGTGATAAGTCTGGGCGCCGATGCCTGGGATAGCAATCAGGGGAGGGTGAGTGAAAGGAAGAGGAGGAAAGAGCAGCATTGTGGGTAAATATGTGCACTTCTGGTGGTGATTACCCTCCAAGTAATTAGTTTTTAAATCAGGCAGACGTTTCGGGAACTACTCACTATGAGCTGCTTTAATTATTTATACTCCCTTTTATTCTTATTATTTATAGTCATCCTCTTTGGATGGGAATGCTCTTTGGAACCTGAACCACCTCCAGCCCACCCTGGCCAAGCAGCCATCTCCAGTGCTGCCAGGCACCTCGAGAGCCTGGGGGGTCCCCCTCTCCCTCGCAGGGCCAGGCAAAGGGGAGTGAGAGCCCATCACTGCTGCGGAAAGCCCTGCTCGGATCGGTAATTAAACTCTCACTCATCTTCATTTCCCTCATTTGTTAAAGTGAGGCCACTCAATAAGCCATTAGTGCAAGGTCCTTTCTGTCAGCTACGGCATCGTTAGGCACATTCCCCTTGGAGACGGCTGGGGAGGGTGCAGGCAGGGGGAGCAGCCCCTTGCCTGCCTCCTCCTCTGCCCAAACCCTCCCCATCCACCCCTCCGAGGTCACTCCTGCCCTGTGGCCAAGGCTCTAGGGAGTGAGGGGGAATTTTGCAACGGCAAACCCTTCCCCCAGCTGGGATTTTTCCCACAGCACCACACAAACCCCTGTTCCATCAGAACATCTGCTGTTGTTGCTCTCTCTTCACCAACCCCACCTCTCCGGAGCTTCCCAACATCTGGAAACCATTCCCTGCACCATTCCCATGAAGGGACCTCCGACCCACTGAGCCCCTCCTCTGGGCTAAACAAAGGCTGCCCTTATTGCTGAGCTGGGGAATTTTGCCTGCCTTCCCCTTGCTCCAGCCACAAACTGTTTCTCAATCCATCATCAGGAGAGCATCTGCCTGGGGAGCCCTGGAGCATCCTCTGCTTCATCTTCCTCCATGGACACACTCAGATGTCAGCATCTGCCTGGGGAGCCCTGGAGCATCCTCTGCCCCATCTCCCTCTACGAGCACATGCTCAGATGCTGGCACTGAGGAAAGCTGCAAAAAAACCCCAAGATCCCAGCACAAGAAAAACCACAATACAGGGAAAAGCTGCTGTAGATTGACCCAGGAGAAAAGCCCATGGTCTATGTGTGTAATTACTACAACTACATGTTGATTTCCCCTCCCAAGAGCTTTTATGCTGGCTCTTGCTCTGGTCACAACAGCAAGAACACCTCGATCTCGCTGCTTTCTCCCCCATGGAGTCATTTGGCAACAGGCCATGAGAGTGAGGGGAGTTTCAGCTGAAGCAACCATGGAACTGCTGTGCAGCACAAAAATAAAAGAGTAATGCTAGGGATGTGTTTAGCATTGGGACAAAGTGGGGCCCATCAGCAACCTTCACCACACACCTCAGTGGATTCCATGTGAGACAAGACAACTCACTGCACCAAAACCCAGGTGAGAGCAAAAAAGCAGAGGAAAAATGTACACAAGCCTGTCCTGTGCTCTACACCCTCACAGGAACCCAACCTGAGTGCTGTCCTCTTGGGTCTGTTTTCATCCAGCTCCAGCATCGCAGAATCCCGGAGGGGCTGAGGTTGGAAAGGATCTCTGGAGGTCACTCGCTCCAGCCCCTGCTCAAGCAGGGCCACTCCGAGCTGGTCACTCAGGACCACGCCCAGGTGGCTTCCCAGTTCAGCTACTTGGGGGGAAAAATACAACAAACATGTCAGATGCAGATTAAACCACCAGAATGGACAGTGTCTTGTCTGTAACACCAGAGAGAAACATGGTTTTAAGGAAGGGGAGCCCTCCAAGTGAAGCCAACTTCCAAGGGCATCCCAAAGCCAACCCTGCAGTCACGAAGGGTTTTGAAGACCATCTGCCTGCAGAGCCAAAGCCACATCTGTGTGAAAGACAAGCTGCTGCCTGCCCTTGAACTCGGTGCAACCCACTTCTTCATAAAAATACCAGCAACCACAGTGGAAACAGCTTCCCGTGGGAGCAGAGGGAGGGGATCCACCTGCCTCCCCCAGGATCATGCTGGCTTCATCCCCAGGGCACTCAGCACCAGCAGCTCCAGTGTGTTTTAGAGTACCTGGGGCAGGTATCCAAGGTGGGAAGAGTAAAGGGGGTTAGGAATAATTAACCTTCACCCCAAAGAGGGCAGAGGACAGCAGCTCTAGGGCTTGACTCTCCCATCACTCCCAGCCCCACAGGGTCCATACAACAACCATCACACCGTGGCTGGGAACAGACATTTCCAAACAAACCTCCTTCTATTTGCATTCGAAACATTTATTTTGGGAAATACATATTAAACACTATTATTTATACAAAAATGGACTAAATTTTCGTAATGCTTATAACCCCCAAAAGGCCATTTTAATAGATCTGGATGAAGGGTTTTTTAATGGAATAATTTTTTTTTTCTTAAAAAAAAAAAAAAAAAAAAGTCAGGTTACAAAGGAGAAAGCAGCGTGTCTTGCTTTGCCCAGCTTCAACTAGAGGAAAAAAAAAGTTCAAGATGACATTTGCAGAAGTGCCTCACACAAAGAGATTTTTCTCCCCTTTCAGTCTTTTTTAACACTTGAAATATATATATATTTTTTCAGTTAATACACTTTTTTTTTTTTGTTGGTTTTGCTAAAATATAGCAAGTCAGCAAGTAGAGAGTCGCTGTACCCCAACAGCTCCGTGGTGCTGTTGTGGCTGGGGAGGAATATGAGTGAAGGGCAGAATGGATTCTCACAATGCACCCCCCTGCCCACGCCTCTTTGGGAGGACATGTGTGGGGAGCCCCTGCAAACCCTGTCCAACGTCATCTGGGCATCCCCACCGAGGTGAGAACAACCTCCTCCTTCCTCCTGGTCACCTGTGCCGAGGAAGGCTCTGTCCCCCACGGAGACCACGGGGCTTTGCAAGCGCCTTCCAGTGCTAGAGGATGGGACACGCTGCCATTTTAGTGTGTGCCCCCCAAAAATGGGTGATTTGCAGAAGTTTTATCCCTTAGAGAGGATATGGAGATTGGTGGAGTGGAGAACAGAAAGGGAAGCGGAGCTGGGGCAGGGGCAGGACTGCAGAGCTCTGCTCCAGGACCATCCTCTCCTGTGTCACGGTGCTACCTCACCCTTGCAGGGACTTATTTACTGGAGATACACTGAAATAGGAGGTGCTGGGGGGCAGAGCAGGGGGAGACGTCGGGCACAGCACCCACAAACACAACCCCAGCCCTCCCCAGGGTGGCAGGGCTCGGTCTGCACATGCACAGACCCCCTGCACAAGGACCAGCAAAACACAGGAGTGTGTTACACGGACACACGTCACACAGGGGAACCAGAAAATAAAAAATGATTGAAAAATGCCCAACAGCCTCCTCTGACGTAGGGAAAAAAGCCCAAGAATCACAAGGGTAAGACAGGACAACCCTCCACCTCCCACCACCGCTTTGTGGAGACGTTCCACTCTCAGCCCCCTTTGGACAAACACACTCCCAGCCTTCAGCACACAAAAATCCCACCCAAGTGAATGAAAAATAAATACACAAGTGTTCTCAGGACATCAGCCACATCTGTGGCCCAAGGGAGAGGGAGCAGGAGTCCCTACAAAGGTCTGCAGCCTTTTGCAGGCTGCACAGACAAGGCAGACCCTCCTTCCCCTCTCCCACACTATTGCAAGGTCACAGTCTGAAAAGGCACTTCTCCCAAAGCAGGTCGCTCTGCCTGGCAGGGGGTCGGTGACAGGCAAGGTGACACCTAAACACTCCCAGTTTATTGCATGTAGATGGGGTACAAGGGTTGGGTTGGGGGCTGGCAGGTCCTGGAGGGCTGCAGAGGGCTCGGAGGAGGCGGCAGGAGACAGGGATGGCACTGTCTTGCTCTCTTCGTCCCACCCGTACCTTGCTTCCGAAGGCTACGTTCACCTGGAGAAACCCTTTTGCCTTCAACGGACGGAGAGGAGCCTCTGCACGGAGGGGCAGGCAGGGCTCCTGGGGGCACCCCAATCCTGCTGGCCCCGTGGATCTGCTCCCCTGGGTTCGGCTGCCGGGCCAGAGCTGGGGGTAAGCGAGAGCTCAACCTCCACGGAGGGACAGTGCCCAGCCCAGGAATGCTGGGCCGGGGGCCGAGAAGCAAATTGATGCCACAAGGCGGGGGGTGAGCGGCCGCCCCACGCCTGGTTATTTGGTCAGTTAACATGGCAGGGGGTCAGGGACCGGGGGAAGGGGGACAGTGGTAGAGGATTTATATAAAAATAAAGGGGGGAGAGGGGAGAAATAGCGAGCATGAGCGAGCAAGGTCCTGGCTACGGAGCGAGACGGTTACATTTCGTTAGCCACCAGCTCTTTGTCGGTCACGCCGTTGGAGAGCGAGCCCTGGCCCTCGTTCAGCCTCTTGACCCTGTAGGCTTCGAAGTGGATGTTGCTGGTAATATCCTTGATGTTCTGCATGTGTGTCCTGCAGGAAAGGGAAAGGGGAGCAGTCACATCTTGCTGGGAGCAGCTCAGCTGCCCAGCCTTCACCTCTGCACTCTAACTCCTGCACACCCCAAATACTGCTCCAAACAGCCCCAATGTCCCACCCTGCTTTACTGGTTAACGGTGTCTTTAGGGAAGTAAAGGCAAGAAGGGGCAGCCAGGGCCAGAAGCCTTCACTGGTGCTTGGGGACGTGGGAGTTCTGGCTGCAGAACTCCCATCTGGGGAGATCCTGGTCCTGCAAGTCCTGGGATCAGGTTTTGTAATCTCACCCAACTACCTGTCAGCAACAGCTCAGGTGTGCAGAGTTTAAGAGCCAAATTTAGGAGGAGCTCAATAACCCCTCTAGCAAGCCAAGGGAGCTCAGCTTCCCCCTCCCCTGCAGCAGGGACACCTCTTTGAAAAGGGAGCAGCCATCACTCAGACCCTGCAACGACACCCCGATGGAGGGTGATGTCTTTGGGACTGGTGAGGGATCACTAAGGCCAAAAGCTGCTTGGCAAGCATGCTGGAGCCACACTGCACACTGCCAGCAAACCTGGAGTGTCCCAACCCATCCACTGCTCCTCTCCTCCCTTAACTCAACACTGTAGCTGAGAAAAGCCCCCTGGAGTCCCATTCATGGAGATCACCCCTTGCAGAGGCTGGGAGGGGATGGGGGAATGGATGGAGGAGCAGAGCAAAGCAGCTGCTTCAAGCTGGGCTGGGCCCTCCCCTTTCTTTGGATGCCACCTGGTGACTGAAGACTACTGGGAGAAGGCAGAGTCCCACTGACCTGATGAGGAGGTCCCGCAGGTAGGCGAACTCACAGTGTGTCGTGTTCTCCACTGGCAAGAAGGGAGAGAAACCCATCAGTGTGCACCCATGGCATGGGGACAGCAATCCCTCAGGGTAAGCAGGACCCTGGGGGGCTTCACCAGCATCTGGAGGGCTCAGACAGGGTCTTACATCCTGGGGCTACAGGATGCAGGACCCAGGAGTCCCCTTTGTTGCTGTGAAGCTGGTACCAGGTACGTGCCTCAGCTCAGCATGACCAGCTGGCTGGTGAGGTCTGACTGAGCATCCACAATCCCTTCCCACTCTGTTCCAACAATAAAACCAAAAGCAATGTCCTTTGGGACCCCCTTGGGCCCCAAACAAGGCAGGGGAAGGGGCAAGGTGAGCTTTGCAGTGAGCACCAGGCCTGTCTCCACAGAAGTGCTGGCCATGAGCATCCTGCAGCATTCTGGGCACGCTGGTGACAGCTGCCTGGGCTGCTGGTGTTGTGGAAGGACAAAATCTCTTGGTGAAAAAGGCTATTGCTGTCAGAACAGGGCTTGGAGCAAGAGGGGTGTTTGCAAGAGAGAAAAATCAAAGGGTGTTGTTTCACCACAATTATTCTAACAGGTCATATTTTACCCCTAAATTTACTTAATTTAGAGGATGAACTCCATTTTTAATTTTTTTTTTTAACCCAAACAGGCTTGTACATAGAATCACAGAATCCTTTGAGTTGGAAATGACCTCTAAAAATTACTGAGTCCAACCACTAAACATCATCAGGAATGGCAAAACAACAAATAACAGTGTTCTGCAAAGGCTGCCTATGGCTGTGGCTGTGTCCTTGAGGTCTCCCTGTGCTGAAGGGAGATGCCACAAGCAGAAGGTGAGGGGTTTAATGAATCTCATTAAACCCAGAACTTCCAAAGACACAGCACAAGAGGGCAGCAGAGCTTTAAAATACACTGATTTTCCTGGCAGCTTTGTTAAACCATCCCTCAACACAGGATTCCTATAAAAAAGACTCATAAATGAGGGGAACCAAATGAATGTGAAACGAAGGGGAGGAAGATGAGAGGGGTGGTACTGGAGATGTGCCAGCTGGCTGCCAGAAACCAAGGACAAGGAAATGTGTAGATGTGCTGGAGCCAGGAGCTTTCATCTAGCCTTTAAACCATCACTGTAAAATGGGGGAGAAAAAAGGAAGATGCCAATGGGAAATGGAAGAGGGAAGAGATCCCACAAGGGCACCAACCAAAGGCACGGTGGAGGGTACAGATGCCAGGGGAAGGCTCTAACGGGAGCTTGTGTGCCCTAAAATCCTGCCATCAGGTAGGATTTAACTGTGTAAAACTGTTTAACTGTGTAAAAAGCACAAACCAGGCCATAAGACCACCAGAAGTGTCCCCTTCAGCACTCAGCAGCCCCCTGAGCCACACAAAAGCCACACTGGCCAAGGTGTTTCCAGTCCTCAAACACCAGGGAATTTATCTTCTTTGGAGGGGCAGGGAAGCACTAAATACACTTCTACTGCTGGTTTTGGACCTCAGTGCCTCCTGTCAGGGCAGGGAGATGGGCTCTGGGAGTAGGAAATCAAGAACAAGGTACCTTCAATGGTGCCCCACTTGGTCTTCCTTCCAAGGATTCTTCTTCCATTAACCTGGTATTCCTGGTCACTGCCCACCACTGCAAATGGGATCATTTCCTGTTCAAAGGAAAAAACAAGGTCATGTTTTCCTCCTGAAAACTGGTCAGGAAACCAAACTGGTGAGCAAAGTCCTACATCAAGCTGTTTTCAGGAGAGTTTCACGGGATGAGCTGGTCTGTCCCTGATATTCCTGAGCAGTGTTGCTTGCCAAGGTCTGCAGGCAGCCCAGGACCTGGGCAGCAGTATCTCTTGTGCAAGTGCCCAGTCCAAAACCCAGTCTAAACCCAGTCCAAAACCAGTCTAGACCCAGTCTAAACCCAGTCTAGACCAGCCCCTCACTGGCAGGTGCCAACATACAACCGGACCAAAGGTATCAAGATGCTTCCCTGGGAATTGCCCCCAGCATCTGGCAACCCGTGGCCAGATTTCTGGTCAGTCATTTCCTGATCCAAGGTGGTATCTTTGAATTTCAGAGCCCCTTGAAGATTTTTTTTCTTGCTTGAATTTGTCCAAACCACTTTATTGAGCCAAAAAATTCCCAGCTATTTCCTGTGGCCTGGAATTGGCAGCCACAGAGCAGGGCAGACTAGGGGGAAATTCCCTCCTGGTGCTGGGAAGGCTGCTGCCCTAGCCAGGGATGGGCAGGCACCATGCACCCCCCTGCTTGCAGACTACTGAGGAATTCCTTGGAGGAATGGAGATGGGGAAAAGAGTATGGACAGAAGAGGACACCTTCCCCAGGAGCCTTTGTCACCCTCTTTCTGTCCCTGCTCTGAGCTCTGGAAGGATCCTTGGTCCTGGCCAGACCCCGTGGACAGGGCACAGCAGCCTTGGAAAGAAAAGAGAGGCCCTTTGGAAGGGACTCCCCCAGGACATCACCAGCCCCCAGAGCTGCAGGGCCCATCCAAGCCCAGCCCCTCACACCGACCCGGAATTTCTCGTTCACTAGCCGATCTTCAGAGTCTTCATCAAACTCCTTCTGAGGATACACGTCGATCCCGTTGGCCAGAAGATCAGCCATTATCTAGGAGGGAAGAGCAGAGGAACATGTGAAGGGGATGCAGGCAGAGGAGCTGCACTCCCAGCACAGCAGCTGCTCACAAGCCCACCCGAGAGGCTCTCTGAGCAATGCCCACCAGTCACAGCAAAGTCCGGCAGCAGCTCTTCCCTTTCCATCCTGAACATTGCCCACCTGGGGGAGAGGCACCTGTGTTTACCTGCCACACACCCACCAAGTGCTCACCCTGGAACCTCTGCAAGAACCTGGTGCCAAGACCTAACTCAGGCTGAGAGTGAGATGAAGTTATATGAGCTGGGCGTTGTTTTGGGATTGAAAAAGACAACATGACGTTACAAGCTGCCCGAGCAATGGGGAATGCAGCTGCCAGGCTTGTAACCCAAAGTTAAAAAGCTGATTTCTGGTGTTTGTTTGCGTTCCTTGGAAAAGGAGTTTGATCCAAGGGGACAAGGACACAGCTTAGAAGAGTGGCCTCTAAGGTACTTTGCCTCTGTGCAAAGCAAAGAAATGCTGAAATCTGATTCCTGGGTGGAGGCTCAGCTCATGGGGAGCTCAGAGGATTAGACTTCTCCTACAACACTGCAAACTCCAAGTCAGCCTCTGCACCCACTTCCATTGCTTCCTATGGCCATAAACTCCTCCACATCAGTCCTACATTGCAGGCTGGGAAAGGAAGTGGATCCAGCCCAGGGAAATCGCCCATCCAAACCCACACACTATGTTTAGGGGAATGACCCAACAAAGCCAACTCCACAAGGCACCAGAGTCCCTCATTCAGTGCAGCACTGGCATCAACCTGCAGCCAGGCTGGTGCTTCATCATTCCCTGCCGACCCCAAACTGAACCCAGAACAGCTCTCTGAACCAGCTACACCCCCAGATGCAGACAGGGCTCTGCTTTTTGGAAGCACAGACACAGGCACACTGGAGTGAAGGGGAAAGGTCCCAGCCTGTGCCCACCCAGTCTCATTTCCTGCCCTCTCATCTCCACCAGTGAATCTGCAGCCAGGAGCATGAGGAGAGTGAGCAAACATACCACGTGGCTACGTGTTCTCCCTCCATCTGGAAGGATTTGGGGGGTCTGGTTATAATCAGGAATGTAATCAGAGATGGGGCAAGCTCGTCCTGCGCCGAGCCGGTGCAGAGCAGGCGAGCCGTGTGCTCCCTACCCACGGTGTTTCACTGCACAGGGATGGCAGCAGCAACCCAGAGTGTCCAGGTGACATTTTAAGTCCAAGACTGACTGACTTTGTAGTCCCAGAGTCACCCACAGACACGTGGATATGGGCACTGGTAACTTCTGAATGGAGCCTTCAGTCTGCAAGAGCCACCAAAGAGAGCAGATGTGGCACTGTGGACTCAGCCCTCCGTGTTCCCACACCAGCTCCTCACAAATCCCATGCAAACAGGCTGACATGCCAATTGAGCCCAGCCTGGATTACCTTTCAACTCCATTTCCAGCTATCCTCTAGCCAAGGAAACTGCTTGCAGAGTTTGAAGTTTGGATTCAGCTCTCAAAACCAGACTGGATATTTCAGTGCCTGATCCTGCTCACCAAGAACTGGGAAGACACTGGTGTGGGAAGGAGTGGCTCATCCCCCTCTGCACAGAAGCATGGAACAACGCCTGGCTAAGGTGTTGTCCTCTCTATAACTAATGGACTCTAAAACTGCCTTTTTGGCAAGACCCATTTCCCTTCAATTCCCTGCAGTTCAGACTCATGGACCAAGGAGCTTGGTGGTTTGCTTACTTCTGTAGGGAATGCTGAGGTCATCACACCTGCAGCCACATCCATCAGCTACACAAACGGATTTACAGTCCCTTACCAAACCCCAAAATGGGGTATTTCCACCTCTTGGAAGCCTCAGGGGTACACGGAGCAAAGCTCATGCCTTGCTGCGGATTTGAACAGCCTCTCCTTGGCTCCCACCACCAGCTCCTGACCAAAGGAATTTCATACCTTGCTTCCCTCTTAAATCTTGCCCAGCTGAGCTCAGCAAACCCACACATTTTTTTGCCTGGTCCCTGTATCAGCGCACGATGCCGCACAGGGAGGTTTTCGCTCCCAAAATAACAGAAACCATCCCGAAAATAACAACAACAATAACACAGGAGGCAGGAGGAGCAGGCCTGGAGACACAGAGCTCCACGCTTATCCTGCACTGACAAAGATCCAAGAGAAACACAAGGAACCGCTTGGAGCGCAGGCCTTTCCTCCGGCCACGTGGGATCGCTCGGAGCTGCAGCCCGAGGAATGCGCTGGGCTCCCGGCCAGGAGCTCGCCTGCCCAGCCCTGCCGGGGGAGCCAGGAGGGGGAGAGGGGCAGGAGGGGACGGGGGGACAAGAGATGGGAGCCCGGGGATAAGAGCCACCGACCCCTTACCCGCTGTTTGAAGTAGTCCCTCTCCTCCAGCGTTAACGTGTCAGCCTTTGCGATCACGGGGACGATGTTGACCACTTTGCTCAGGCGCTTCATGAACTCGATGTCCAACGGTCGGAGCCTGGAAAACAAAAAAAAAAGGGGATTCGAACACCCTCAGCGAGGTGGGGGCTGCTGCAATCCCCTGGTAGAGAGGGGCATTCAAAGATCAGACAGAGGGGAAATCACTTCCTTTCAGATAGGACAAATAAAGACATTTTCTTAAAAGCACGGAGATCGTTTGCAAGCACTTAAAACATTTCCCTTTCAAAGCACCTGCTATCGCCTGTGAACCTTCACAAAGGCCCGTGAAGTGGCAGAGGGCTTTTATCTCTGCAGGGCTGCTCAGCCACAGAGGACTGCGGGAACTTGCCCAAAGCTACACATGTCCTTGGTGAAGCCGGGATGAGAGCACGGGCAATGCTGGCTGCAGGGCCAGCCCACTGCCATGTACAAATCAAAACCTCCTCCAGCTCTATCCAAGCTGTCACCAACCATCCAGGGATAGCACAACATGAAAATGGCCACAGGTGACTATTCCTGCTCACACTCCCCCTGTGCTGAGCACCACTCCACTGCTATGCATGAGCCAGGACTGCATCTCACATCATTAGTTGGGATTAAAAAAAGCTCTGTGAATTCTCCAGGGCCTCAGGGAGCAAAGAAGAGATACTGCTTGTTCCAGAGGGCAAAAATGTCAGAAAATCTCTACAACAAAAGTCTCTGCAGAGGAAAACTGAAAAGACTGCATAACCTCAGTGATTAGTGCCTTGGGAAATCCCTCTCTGCTGAAAGCTCCTGCTGACAACACTGACACGATCTCTGGTGCCACACTTCTCCACATCCAGGTGTTTTTACTGCTGGGGGTTCCCAAACAAGCTAGAGGAAAGCCCTTCTTGGGACACCTTCAATTGCTGCAGGAACCCCTCAGTGGCTCTGGAGGTGATGGGGACACACACACACACATGCAGGACAGTGGAGCAGATGTTGCCTTGAAAAAGGAAACCTGGAGGTCCCAGGGTCCAGGAACACCTTTGGGATAGGAGCCTGATTGAAATAAGCACTCACTGAAAGCACACTGAAGGGGCAGGAAGGTCAGTGTCAGATCCCCAAAAGCAAAGGGACACTTCTGTCACTCACACATACCCAAGACCTCCAGAGCTGGCATGTGCCAGCAGGACACGAGCCCAATTCATCTTTGAGGCAAAGAGAGGTGAAGTCACCCTTTGGAGGAGCCATGGGCATCAGTGGCAGAGTTGGGACCAAGAATGAGACCTCAACTCATGGCAACAGGGAAGAAACCAAAATAAATGGGACAGTGATTTAAAAGGCTCAGATGCAAGCAGGCATCCAGCAGGAGCCCTCTGGGGGGAAACACAGAGTGGAGCACTCAGGGAGAACATGGCCAAGAGAGCACTTACTGCCAACACACTCAAGCAAACCCCATCACAGTCTTCTCAGCCCTACAAAGGGCTCGGAGACCCCTGCAAACCCAGCAAGAGCCACAGGAATGCAGAAGGGAAGGGACTGATCCTGCTCCTCAGCAGTCACCAGGCAGCATTCCCATCCCATGGGGTCACCCCTGCTTGGCTCCAGTGCCAAGGGAGGGATGTCCAGGAGAGAGCCACTCAGCTCACGGTGATCTGAAAACAGCAGCTCAAGGCTGCTCCAGAACAGCCACTGCTGGTGACCCAGTGAACTCCTCCCTGGTCAAACCCACTCCCCTCCCAGGGATCAGGCTGGACTGTGCCAGGTGGACCTTGTCCCTGCACACTAATGAGACACATAGCCCAGAGCACATCATTAGCACATGGACAAACAAAGTCCCAGCACAAACTCAAGAGTCACAGATCACCCTGGGCCCCGGGAAAGAAAGATTTTGGCTATTAAAGAAAAAAAGAACAGAAAAAACCTACAAGGAACCCCCCATGGACACATCTAAGCTGACTTGCTGCTGGCAAACATTGTTTGGAGCTCTGCATAATGTATTTCCCAGACCTCCAAGGAAGTAATGCAGTTATGCTCTTTTCCCAGCAGAATTCTTTCCCCTCCTCTCTCTTTGCTCTTTTCCAAACAATTTTTTCCCTCTAAAAGCTTCTTCCCTACTGAGTCTGTGTTCCTGCCTCTTTCATCAGCTTTTCCTTTAAAGACCAGGATGCATATGTAGCGAATGCAGATGAATTCACAATCAGGCAATCAACTGAGCTTCAGCTCAAACTACATGTTAAAAGCCCAGTTACCCTCAGATCCCTCACAGATACCCAGAGGATGAGGATGCCAGAGAACAGGAGGCAGAGCCAGAGCCAGCCCACTTCCCTGCTGTGTCCACCCCATCCACACAGCCACAGTGACCATGTCCATCTGCACCCAAAGCCAGAAGAGCCCAAGGTACCTCTGACACAACGTTGTGCTCTGATGGGCTCCTGCAAGTGCCTATCCATGGGAGGTCACCTCCCTGCACCATCCTGGAGAACATCACGGGACTCCCCAGAGGAACAAACTATATGTTATTAGGGTATTTTGCAACTTTCTAGATATTCTACCAATTTCTGATGGGTAGCCCCAGAAAAACCTTAATTATTTAAAAGAAAGGGAATCTTTTCACTAACAACAAGACCTGTCACTAGACATCATGTTTATGTGAAGACATCAAAGGAGAAAATATGGCTTGATGATGACAAGCTATCGGCTCCAAGCAGATCACAGAAGGGAGGGTAGAGCTCAAGAATAAAAACCTAACCCGTTTTCTTCCCCTTCCCCAAATGGTTTTTGATATTATTAACTTGCAACTAGACATATACATGCTTTGGGCTTTGCTGGGAGGGGTGGAGGAGCCCTAAGGGGAGCAGATGGGCTGGAGCAGGAGGTGCAGGACGGACTCCAGCCCAACCCAGACAGGGCTGGTTGATCCCTCATCCCCTCTTGCTATGGGGATGGGAAAAGCTGTGCAGCTGGGCACACACTGTCATGGCTGGGCACATCTTCTCAAGGCTGGACACACACTGTGGTGGCTGGACACACATTATTTCTGCCTTGCCCTCAGCCACTGCACACAGACGGGGTCTAAGCAGAGGCTCATTCCTGCTGGTTCCCCTGAAATGCTATTACAGGAATCAAAATTCACAGCGAGCTGCAAAGTTATTTCCTTTTGGTTGTGCCCCAGATCAAACTCACAGCAAGAATTTGAGCGGTGTGTTAAGCAAACACCGGTGAGAACCCAACAGCCGCCCAACCCCATCACCTGCTGGAGGGAGCTGGTGGGCACCTGAGAGGGGCAGCCAGCAGGGAAGGCAGCACTGGGGGCATCCCTCAGCCAACAGCCCTTGTACAGGCAGCAGAGGGGCTGCTGAGGCCAGGCAGTGTTCCAGAGCCCCATTTCCGAGTTGAACAGAGCTTTGCAGGGGTCGGAGCAGAGATATTTATTGGGTGGCAGAGTCAGGGTTGTGCAGCTGCAGCTAAAAGCCCCTGCCAGCACCATACTCAGCCTTCACAGGAATGGTTATATGGGAGTGTTACAAGAAGGACAGGCTGTGTGCAAACTAGATGGGCTGCAAAGCCTGGCCTGAACTCCCTTGCAAACTTCCTTGCACAGCAGAAACTTCTCCTCTGATTAACCCTTGAGCTGCTCAGATGGGAGGGCCAGACTGAAACAGAACTGAGCAATCCTCTGCTCTGGCCTCTGAATCTCTGTTCCTGGTTAACTTTGCTTTTTATCCTCTCTCTCACCTTTTTATTTAAGTAAAAAGTAAGCTCTCACTCAATGACAGGCTTAACCCAGCTGCCTGCAGCACCCACGTGCCAGGGAAGGGATGCTGAATTCTGTGCCGTGCCCATTCACATCAGCAGGGAAGGGCAGATGGACACGAGTCACTGCTGCTTTGGCAGCAGTGTGAAGGCTGCAGCTCCCTAAGAACTATCCCAGGAGGGGTGGCACCACACTTCCCAAGATGGCAAGTGGAGCACGCAGATGGCATCATGTGGGCATGGTGGGGTTCTCTGGAGTTGGGTGTCCCCAGTGCAGGTCTCTGCAGCTCTACCAGCCACTGCCCTTGCCAGCCATCCTCCCCATCATCTCCCAGAGAAGCTGGAGGCACCACTGCAAGGACCTTGATGGCCTTCCCATACCCTCCTGCAAGGAACCAGAGATCACCTGCGTCAGCCGGGGCACAAACCTGCACTCAGCCTTGTATGACAACCCCAGGACGTGAGTTCCCAAGCAGGATCTGCTGCTACTGGCGCTGCCACAGCAGCTCTACCCCAAAGTAGAGGTGGCCACATCATCTTTTCGGGGGCACCACTGGGGACAGCCCATCCATGGTGACAAGAAACATAACTTGGGCTTCACAAGAGAGCAGAAAGGAAACCCAACGCCTGCTCGAACTCTCTGAGAAGCAAAATTTCCCACTGACTTCTCCCTCCCGGTGGGGTTTGCCCCCTTCACTCATTTCCTCTGGTTCCCTCCATCCCGTGGCAGGAGGGGGCGTGTGAGCCGGTGACAGTGGGGCAGGACAGAGCAGACCCTGAGCCACGGCCGGAGCGAGCGCCGGCCCCAGCCGGGCTATCAGGCTGCGGGGAAAGAGGATCAGCACAGGGCTCAGCAACAACGGCCCCCAGCTGCCGGGCCCGCTCGGATATTGGAAACACATGTTTGCTGGAGAGAAAGAAAAAAAGCAGCTGAATATCCACACAATTGCTGTGAGCCGGCGGGTGAGAGAAACCAGAGCGCGCGGCTGGAGAGGCTCCGGCGGGGGACACGGGGATGGGGCTCCACATCCTGCACTGCCCGGGCACCCAAAATTTCCAACCTCCGTGCAGGTCAAACACCCGCAGGGTCTAAGGATTGGGTGTTTTTTAAGAGTGGAACAGCCCCAGGCAATGAGGAAAAGCTGGAGTGCAGCTCACGCTGCAGTGGCCCGGCCTGCCGAGGCAGGGTCTGTAGATCTGGGCTGAGATAAGTGGGACCAACACGGTGGACTGACCTAAAAATGTCATCTCCCTCTGAAACCTTTTCTGCTTTATTGTATTAAACCATAAACGTTTTGTCAGCCCCTCTGCTCCCAATCAGTTACCCAAGAGGAGCATAACTGGCCCATGCAGTCATTTTATTCCAGTGAAAGATGCATTTTTGGTCTACCCACTGACAGAAGCAAAACAAAGTATTTTCTATTAGAATAAATCTCCACATGGGGAAGTGGAAAAGGCTGACATGAATACGGTGCTTGAGGCTTAAATTTACTTTTGAAAACAGACCCAAAAACATCCCCATGCAGACAGAGCCAGAAGTAAGAGGAATTGACACAAATCAAAAGGAAACTTAGGTCTCATTTTACGTTGTGATACTTCAAGCCACATTTTTCAAGACACTTTAAGCGCCCCAGATTTTCATGGTGGGCTGTGTGCCTAAGAGAAAAAAAAAAAAAAAAGGAAAAAAAAAAAAGTAGAGCAAGATCTGGGCCTTTGATGCTGTCACTTGAGAAGTGCCAGAGCCAAGAGAGCTCTGGGCTGAATAAACAGCATCCCACTTGCAGACCAGTCAAACAACCTACAAAATACCCTTACAGGGTGAGGGTGTTTGCTCCCTTAGAAGCACAAGGAAAACTGGCTTCTCCCCTTACAATGTCAGGGGCACAGCAAGAAAAAATTAACGTTCTGCTTGCAAAGGCAGCACCTCCAACCAATCTGAGAGCTGGTGTCCACCCCTGGCAGAGCAAGCCGGGTGAGCACAGCAAAGCAAGCAGCTCCCTGGAGATCAGAGAGGCTTTGATGGCCCTATGGAAGAGGAAACACCACATTTCCCTGGGGTACAGCAGCTCTGCTGTGTTATTGCAAGGGCTCCAGATGCCACAGCCCTGAGAAGGACAGCTCCATGCTGTCCTCAGGCTCCTCAAGTCCCCAGGAAACACAGGAGGATCCCAGGCAGAACTGTGAGCTGCCCCAGACCAAAGGCAGGAGAGGGAAGCCCGAGGGGGTGACAGGGACAGCGGGGTACGTACGAGTGGCCCGTGGCTGGGATGAAATATATACAGCAGTGAACCCGCGTGTCAGGGATCCGCTTCTTCCGGTTAATGTTGGTTTCCTCCTGCAGGTACTTCTCGTACTGGTCGTTGATGAACTTCATGATGGGCTGCCAGCTGCAGAGAGAGAGAGGGACACGGGATGATGGGGTTGTGTGAGGGATCTGGACCACCCTGACCCTCCCACCTGGCCTGTGTGAAGCAGAACCCTCCAAGGCAGGGACACTCAGCATCTTAGAGAATCCCACAAACCTCACGTGTTCACTGCTTAGCAACTCCATTCACTGATGAAGGGGATTTACTGGCTGGTTGAGACAAGCAAGTGCCTAAAAAGTGCTCCCTTCTCTCCTCCTGGACCTGGCTGAGGGGCAGGACATGGCTGGGAGCACACCTTGGCTCCTTGCATGGTGTCACAGCACAGGAGTAAGAGCAGAATCAAACCCCACAAACCCAGCTCATCTCGTGGTGAGGAGAAGGCACCTGCCACTGCCCAGCCCTGTCCAGCCCCGGGGGCCATCCCACAGAGCCAGTCACTGTCCCAGGGATTCCAGGGACAGTTCAGCCTTCAGAGCCACATGAGCGAGGTCCGGGGACTGGCCCTGCTGGCACACAGCTGCTCCTGGCCACGAACAAAGGTTGTCTCATGCCCGGAACAGCAGGATGTTTGTGGGCTCTCACAGGGCCCAGGGTCAGCCCCGGGGCACATGGCACCGCGCTGCCACCACAACAACCCTCCTCCCTGCTCCCCACGGAGCATGGGTGGCACAGGACCAGGCTACAGCCCTCAGCACCAGGTCAGGATGGGCCGGGGCTCACCCGCCTTCCCTCTGCCCTGGTCCCCGTGGCAGCTCACCAGTTCTCATTGTTGATGTGGTCTCCAAATCCCGGGGTGTCGATGACTGTCAGCTTCATGCGAACCCCCTTCTCTTCAATCTCTGAAAGGGAAAGGAAAGCTGGCACGTGAGGCAAGCCCACCCTCCCAAAATCAGCTGCAGGGCTGGAGCTTGCTCCCAGAGGAGAAAAGTACCTCCACAGCTTCTCACAGCCACAAATCACCACTCTAAAGGAGCCCCACATCTGCCCTGAAATGCCATCCCCACGGCCACCTCATTTGTTCCCTTTCCAGCAATATTAAGCTAATGACGATGAATAAAGAAAAAAACAGATGTTTTCTCATCCCTGCAAACATCACAAGATGGTAAAAGCCCCTTCAGAGAGATGAGGGTGGAGGTTTAGTGCAGGACAATAACCTCTGTGAGCCCCCAGAGATACAAGGCAGAACAGGACCGAGAGCCAAAGCACCAGGTGGGACCTGCAGAGCCTCACCGTGAGTGATGGATTTGATTTCAATGGTCTTGGGGATCCGCTCCTCAGAAGTGGGCTGTACAGATTTCCGGCTGATTTTGGATTTGAAGAGGGTGTTGATTAATGTGGATTTCCCCAAGCCGCTCTGACCTGGAAAAGAGCAGGATAACCCACGGTCAGCACTCACTTGTTTCCAGGCTGTTCTGTGAGGGGCCAGGGAATGGGGATGCTGACAGACTCAGCCTGCACCGGATCTGCCAGAGGGAGGGAAGAGGTGCAGCTGCTCCCCTGCAGCTCCCCCGGCTCAGGGAACTCATGTCCAGCCAGGCAGGAAAATTCTGCAGGCAGCAAACTCCTTCACTGGCTCACTGGGAGTGAGCAGGTCAAGAGCTGGTTGCCTGCATCCAGGCAAAATCACAGCAAACCCAAGGACAGGCAGACACTACTGGGGATGTTTGGAGGGCTGCAGTGACACTTGGCAGCCCTGAAGAAGGGCATGGGAACCAGAGAATCCCAGGAAGGAGCATCTTGACAAATCTCTGCCTTTACTCTCTTGCACTGTCCTCTGTCGAGCTCCACAGGGAAGCCTTTGGAGCAGCTTGGCAAGCCCTCAGCTGGACAGGACTAACAACAGCAACAATCTCACAAACCTCAGCCCTGACCCATCTGCTGCTCCTTCCCTGGCGGACTTGCTGTTGCAATCGGACCAGCTGGCTGCACAGATCCCTTCAAGCAGGTCTAGGCCAGGAGCTTCTCTGAATCCCACAAACATCATCCCAGGAAGCACATGAGATTCCACAGCTTCCGAAAAAACAGCTTTTAGAGACAAGCATTTTCATGCTTTATCTCCCAGAGCTGAGGCCAGTCTGCAGAGAATGGACACCGGCAGCTCTCGACTCTCCAGATCAACTGTCCCACGAGCTTGGAGAACAATTTTTCCACAGCAAAGAAAACAGACCAACTCCTCTAAATCCAGGAAGCAGCTGGCTCCTGCTTCAGAGCAGATATTCTGTGCCCCCTACAACCACTGCAGAGTTCCTGCACACACTGTGAGGACCCCTCCAGCCCTGTTCTGCCAAGATACACTGCAGCCAGCTATTGTGGCATTGCCACTGGCATGTCCCTTGTCCCACACAGTGTCCCTAAGCAGAGTCAGCAAGGGTTTCACCCATGTCCTTCAGGATCCTGACCCATCCAGGCTGCCAAAGACAACTGTAGGGCCAACCAATGCATGAGCACTGGGCATCACCTCCTGGCATCACTTCACTCTCTGATCAAACACCAATTTAAAGCTCAGTTTACAATGTTACCAATGGCCTGGCTGCAATCCAAAGAAGGAAAACTCTGTCATGGTTGGGTTGTAAGAGAAACACATGGACCAGGCTGGGGACAAGTGCTCCTAGTCCTCTGCTGTCTAAAACACAGGGCCAAGCACAAACAGGTCTGGAGCTGGGCACACAGAGAGCCAAAGCAAAGGCCCTGCTGTGCCACTGCTCATCATTACATGGAGCACCTGGGGAGAGGTGAAAGCAGAGTGACACCCTGCCAGAGCTCCGGGCAGTGGGTCTCTGCATTTGTGCCTGCCCAAACTGCTGGAGCTGCACTGCCTGGAAAGGGATCAGAGGTGAGAGCCACCAGCTGCCATGGATGCAAAGTCCCCATCTGAACCGTGGCCTCAGGCTGACCTTGCTGGGAGATGATGGGGCTGCACCCAGGGACCCGATGGCTGTGGTGCAGGTGGCTGAGCACAGGGCAGACTCCCTTCCAACACCCCTGGTTGGCAGCTCACTGCCTTTCCCAGAGCTGAAATCCAGCAGGGAAAACTCAGCTGAGCCTGGCCACCTCTCCTCTCCTTCCAGCTGCTTTGCACCAAAAACTGAACACAGAAGATGTGCTTTGGGTTTGTTTGTTTTTAAGCTTAGACATTTTTCTCATCTCTGCAGCCTTAAGCAGACACAGGGCTAAGCCAACCTCAACCCACAGCCCCCTGTCAGAGCTCTGCTTGGGCTGGTGAAACCCTTTTGAACAGGGATCTTGGTAAGCTGGGCAGAGGATTTTCACAAAGCCCCATCACAAGGACACGGTGAGGAGTGACACCTCCATGGCAGTGATGCTCAATTCCTACCTCCTGCACAGGAGAAGTCACCTCCCACTCCCTCCCTTCCTCTCCAGCCTGTAAAACAGGGATTGTAACAATTTCAAGGCAAGGACTCACAGCTCAGACTGGATGGGAATAACGGAGCTAAACTCATCCCTAGCAGCCTGACCATCCCTGGAGAAGCACAGCAGGGTGAGGGCTGGCTGCTGCCTCCCAGCCTCAGCCCAGCACCCCCTTCCCAAGGGACACCCTGCGAGGTGCTGCTCCTCCCGCGGCCCTCCTGCATCTTCTGGGAGGGCCAGGGCTCGACTTGTTTATGCTGCCACAAATTCCCCAGCCTGTAAACAGTCAGCCCAGTGCCTGCCAAGGGGAGAACAATGTTTTCCAGCACTGCAGCACGGGCGTTCATACCACACACAGAGCTGCCAAAGCATAGCCAGGCCCGTTCCTGAACATCCCTCCACATCTGCACAGCAGAAAGCTGAGCCTGCTCCTGGAAAGACGGGAGCCTCCTCTGGCAGGGAAATGTGGGCTCAGCTCAAGCAATCTTACTTGCAGGCTCTCAGGACCAGTGCAGTGATCCCTCTGCCTTGGGAATGCTGCTCCACTAGCAGTGAAGAGCTGGATTTGTTAAAACACCTCTCAAGAACTGGTTCTGCGGTGACCAGGCTTGCTGTGATCACACAGCCTGGTGAGCCCTTCCTATAGAGGGAATGAAAATATAAAAATGGGAAAGGAAGAGCATCAGCAGAGCTTGCTGGGAAGCTACAGTGCACTGACATCTTTAACAGAATTAGCAAACTCTGGATCAGGCCCTTCCATAATTCCAGGGAGACCCCCAGGGGACACATCACAGGCATTCCTGCATGAATGGGAGCCTTATAAAGCTCTTCCCAGGAGGATGAGGGATGGTGAGGCTCCATCACCATGCCACTGGTCATAGCCTGGGCTTTACTCTCCTCATCCCCCTGCAGCTCACATGAGAGATTCAGACAGGGAGAACTGGCATCTGCCCAGCCCAGCCCCAGGGAGCACAGCCCAGCTCACAAAAGCTGATCCACAGGACCAAGCCAGATACAAATAGCTGGAAAAAAGCAGAAAAGGCTCATTTCTTTTCCCTTTTCCTGCTTGCCTGATGTCCCACAGTGCCTGCCCAGCTCTCCAGCACACCCAGCATTTTGCTGGCAGGCGGCTGGTACCATCCCTGGCTCCAGGAGCCCAGGGGCTGCTGGAGTGCAGATCCCAGAGCTGAAGCTGCAGCCAGAGCAGTGTGGCCTCTGGCTGAAATAAAGTTCCTTCATCCCATCCACCCTGCAGCCTGGGAAAGCTAAAGAACAGGAGTTCGTAGGCAGCAGGATTTGGACAGACAAGTCCCCAGTATGCCCTTCCCTGCATGTGGGCACCCTGTGGGACACTTTCATCCCCCCTGTGCCACCCTGCAGGTCCCCAAAGGAGCCACCAGCAGCAGAAGCCTCTCAAGCCAAACAACCCAGTTATGCAAACCCCTCCTGCTGGTCTTTATTCCCACCAGTGAATCACTGGTTTTGGTATTTTTTCCCTCATATTTGTAGCCCGGCTGCCTGAATACAAGAAAACTCATGAGCAGGAATTTGACCCAAATTGCTGGAAATACCAGCAAAGATGAGGGCTCTGGTATACCAGCAGCAGTGCAGCCCCTTGAGCCCTTAAAACACCCTCTGACTGCTCAGACCAGTGCTGGGCTCCCAGGAGAACTGGCAAGGGAGCTCCTGTGAGTCCTGACACCCTTCAGGGTGTTCCCCTCCTGGATGTGCCCATGGGTAGCACACCCCCAGATGCAGGAAGATGCACAGGACTATGGAGCACATCACACTGACAGCTTTAACGACAGCTGAACTCAAGCCAGCTCCTTGGGAGCAGAGTTTGCTGACTCCAAAGGCAGGGACCCCAACGCTGAGCCCGAGTCGCTGCTCCCAAGGAGACGCCGGGGAGGACAAACATCATCGTGGAACAATAAAAACAACTGGCCGAGCACGTTTCGAGCAGCTGGTGTAGGGGGAAAACTCACCCACGACCATGATGTTGAACTCAAACCCCTGCTTCATGGCTTTCCGTCTCAGCTGCTCCAGGATGGCGTCTATCCCCACGTAGCCGAAGTCCGCAGCCGGCTTCTCCGGCCGCGTCGGCGCCGCCAGCTTGGGGCCGGCATCCCGTGGAGCGTCCGTCATGCTGGGTGCGTGGCTGGGAACTGCCTCTGGACCTGGGGAAGCAAAGAGAGGGTGGTCAGATGGGCAGGCAGCGCCAAACACGCTGTGTGCTGCTCCTGGTAGGGAATCAAAGGAGCTGCCTGCTGGATCTGAAGCGGGAATAAAGCACGTGCGGAGAGCAGAGACTCAGGGCACCAAAAGGCTGAAAGGGAGGAGGCATGTGGGAACTTCCTTCACCTGTAATTACACTCAGTTTGGGACTTTTCCCTTCTTAACTCACTGGATTCACCTTGATTCCTGCCCACTTCACCAAAGCTGCCGCAGCAGAGGAATGTAAGGGGGTGTAAGCACACCAGGTCCCACAGAGGCCCATCTGTTGCCGTGGAGCAGGACCCAGCACCCAGAAAGTCTCAGCCCACAGGTGAGACTGAGTTTACTGAGTGACAGAGCAGCCCTGCACCACAGCCCTGTGCCCAGGCACTGCCACTATAGGCTGGCAGACTTTCTTACCCAGCCTGCCAGCTCCTCCATACCACTGGAATTACAGCACTATGCAGACTGCTGGTGTGAATGCCCCATGGCCACGTTTTGGGGAACTGGATAGCTTTGCAGACACAGAGAAATCCTTGGCACCTACTGACACGTGCTCTCCTCGAGCTCCAGCTGACACAGATCAGAGGCTGCTGCCCAGGCCTGCAGAAAACCCAACACATTTGCATCAAAGTGGGTCGTGCCAGACAACACCCACACAGACATGGAGCTCTTGTGATCTTGCTCTAATTCTGTCGATATTTACCCCAAAAACCCAAGCCCTTTGGTGTCACACAGAGACAGGGTGCTTGTCTCCCCTGCAAGATGCTCCAGATTAGCAAAGCCCTTCAGAAGAAGCAAATGTACAACTACTGCCTCAGTCAACAGCTTTGTAACAAAAACCAGGGAACCATCCACTTCCCCAGGCAGGAGCATCAGCCTCCAGGAAGGACAAACTGCCCCATGTGCTCCAGGATGATGCAGTCTGCTCCCACCCAGCCCCAGCTGCTCCATGTCACCCACAGTGGATACAGCAAATATCCCGAAGGCAGTATATGCAGAAGGTCAGCCTGGTCCCTGTAAGCTCCTGGAGGCATCAGCCACGCACAGCATGATCCTCTGATCCAGGCATGGAGAGGGAGGTTACAGGAAAACACACTTCTAAGAGCCCTTAGCACCCCAGCCTGTTGCTGCTCAGTGCCTGGGTGCCTACAGCCACCATCCTAAGCGAGCATTTTATTGTTGTTCAGCTCTTTGCAATGCTTATTTATTTTCTTTTTATCATTTATTATTATTAATAAAAACATTACTATTTGCAAAGGACTTATTGCAAAGTCCTCTCCCCTCCAGAAAGCAATACAGCTCTCAGCTCATCTCACCAAGGTTATTTCTGGTCTCCCACAATGTGCTGCCTGGTCTTCTCTCCCTCCCTCTCTCTATGGGAGTGAGGCTGGGCCAAAGGGGCTCCTCCAAACACATGCCCAGTATCCCTTCTCCTCTGGTGACAGGCTGGAGCCACGTCAGACCAGAGCCTGCTGGGTTCTTTGAGGCAGAACCACTCTCTTTCTGCGAGCACAGCCAGTTTCCACACGCTCAATATAGGCCGAGGAGAAAAAAATTATGTAAAAAACAAGAAAAAGCAAATCTAGAACTAATCCCAAAGACTGTTGGGGCACTTTGAACACTTTTTTCCAACCCTCAATCCCAAGCTGTGCAGCTGACTGTTACTCATGGAGCTGCTAGAGAGCAAACACGCTGTTGCTGACACACAGGGGAGCATCTCGCTCCTCCCAGGGACACTGCACAGCTGGAAACGTGCTGCCACGCTGCCCCTTGCAATGCCAACCAGCCCAGTGTGCCAAGGGATCTCACCACAAATCCCAAATTAGCTCCGTTCCAAAACGGCAAGGCCAAAAGCAGAAAAAAAAAAAAAATCCCTACATAACACTAGAAAAACAAAATGACAACTAAATCATGTGGAAAATATGCTGCCACAAGCAACAACGCTGGGTTATGCAACGGGTGTAACTCCTCCAGGCACCACTTGTGTGCACCAAGTGCCCTGGCCCCGTGGGATGGGACAGCAAACTGGGACACTGGTGCAGGTAAGGTGCAGCAGCATGCACAGAGAAATAAAGAAATTAAACAGAGAAGAAAGCCACCATCCACTTGTGACAAAGGCCAGGAGCATCTCCAGCACCTCCTGGCTGCTCAAGCTCCACTAAGGAGCAGAGGGGCTGACCCAGCAAACCTGTCCCCAGCATGGGGAGCAGGCACTATGTGCTGCCTCACCACGTTGCCTTCAGTGGGAGAGGGTGGGCTCAGGGCTTCACAACCAGACCAAAGCCACAGGAGGCACGGGGCAGTGGCAGGCAGGACCTTGTCACATGGAATGTGCAGGCGTGGCCGCCCTGGATGTGCTCGAGCAGCACCACCAGCAGTGCAGCCCACGCTGCTTCCGTTTATCTGCTGGGAAAAGGTGATCTAAAACACCTGGCACCTGGGAAAAATACAATAAAAGTCAATATATTGCATCTAGGAGCATCTGCAGGACAGCATGGATACAAAGACACCAGTGTCCCAGCAGCACCAGCAGACAGGCTCCCAAGGGAAATACCACAACCCAAACCTGCAATTTTTTCTTCAGCTTCCCAGCACTGAGCTGGTGTTTTTTTAGCAAGGACTCCAGTATCCCACTTGGGTCCAAGGGGGTTGTGCCAGCAGAGGCAGCATGCAGGGCCACTCTGCAGCACAGGCACATAGGGATGCTGTGCCGGGTGGCAGGGAGCACTCCCCAGGGTCACTCGTCTCAAATAGAAAGACCCTAGAAATAAATTGGAGCAGAGCTGTGCATGTCTGGGACACATCATGGGCAGATCCTGGACTTGTCTGACCCATTGTGCTCTCTGTGGTGTCAAACCTGTGGTGTTGTCAGAGCCACTATCACTGAGCTGACCCCTATGGAGTGCTGCAAAGAGGGATGGGTTAATAAACACCCAATTACTGTCTGAAATTCCTGATGGCCACTGAGTGCCTGGCAAAGCAGGATTAGACCTCACATGCCATTGCTTCACCAGTGTCACTGTAACCTGGCTGTTGTCCCTCCCACAAGGGGACACTGCTCTGCTGATGGGGCAGAGAGCCCAGAGCCTGCAGCTCTCTCCTGCTCAAGTGTTCCTGGATAAACACAAAGCACATGGGAAGATGTGCTTGTGCCATATTTAGACCTTCTCTGCCAGGAAAACCCTCTCCACATGGGCACCAAGATGGTCAGGGCAGCGCTGCACCGAGCGCAGACAGAGCCAGAGCTCCAGCTCAGGCACGGGCTGACTCAGGACAGCTGCTCCAAAGTTGATTTTGCCAAAGACTCCAGGCTGTTGCACTATAATTGATGCATGTCAGGCACGAGCCAAACCCAACATCTGTGAAGCAGCAGATGAAAGGCACCCCATGGGGAGGGAAGCCTCTGGGAACCCCCCGGGGACCCTCCTGCTCCTTCAGCCAGCTGGACTCTGTGCGTGGGACGGGCTTGGGGAGGGGCTGCAGCAAACTGAGGGCTCAGAGATGCTGTGCTGATGCCACACGGCTGCCACAGCCCAGGGCACTGCGGGCAGGGGATGCAAGGACAGCCATGGGCTCACCTGAAACCCGGAACCTGGGCTGGCAATCCTCGCTGAGGATCTGGGAAAGGGATATGTAAGAGACTGGTGTCTCCACTGCAGATACACAAAGGTCAAAGAACCCTCGCAGAGCCTGCACTGGGACCCCAGGTCCTGACTAGACCCAGCAGCTCCATGCTCTGCTCCAGCAATGCACAGGGAGCAGGATTGTGGTGATCTGGGAGAGCAAAGCTGATCCTGGAGTGGGGCTGGTCATAGACCTAGTGCTCAGTGGCTGCACAGAACAAATGGAAAGAGGCCAGGAGGCTGCACCTCTGCCATGGTTGCCTGTCAACAAATCCAAACCATTGGCAAACTACACAGATGCACACGCAATCAACGGCAAAATGCTAATGTTTGCAGGGTAAATCCAAGAAGCACCCCTCAGATGCCAGGAGCACCAAGCACTGGCCACCTTTTGGTGATGGTGTAACCAGTTTTGCAGAGCTACAGGCACCCAGAAGACCAGGACACTGTGGTGGGGATAGCTCCCCTTTCCTCCACACAGCAGACACTAGAAACACCATGGGCTTATGGATTTATGCAAAGATAGAGAGAAGATGCAGAGCAGTGAACAGTGCTGTATCAGGGTGTGAAAGCAAAATCACCTCCTGGGCAGCTGAGCATCCACAGAAGTTTTCAAGGGAGCAATGTGGACAAACTAACCTTTTGATTTTTGGGAGCAGCTATCTTAGAAAATTGTGCCTGTAGGGAGTAACAGAGACATTTTTAGATCTAAGGAGTGAATTTATAGCTCCTGGTTAAGCACAGCTGGCCGGCAGGACTGCAGCACGCGCAGCCTCCAGGGCCTCTCCCCTTGGCACACTGAGCCAGAGACCACAAGCTATGGAAACCAATCCAACCTGCGGAGGAGGTGGCAAAGCCACAGCTCTCCCTTCCGAGGGGACAGGAGGAGTCGGGAGGGAGTGAGCAAAGCCAGGACTGGATGCAAACCCAGCATGGCCCAGGCACTACTGCTTTTCTCATCTGCCCAGTCATTGCCACCATGGGATCCCCTAGTGCTGAACGTGGCAGGTCCATGCTGGCCCCACAGGGCCGTGTGGGTACCAGGGAATGTGAAGCACAGCTTGGTTTGAAACTTGGGGAGGGGCATTCAGCACCCCAGAAGTGGGCTCAGCCAGGCACACAGAGCAACTGCTGCAGACCCTGTAACTAAGGGACTTTGCTATTATTCAGTTGCAATCAGCTGCACCTGGCTGGCACTGCCAGGCCCGAGCTGGAATCTGTCCCTTGCATCCCTCGGCATCAGGCTGCAATTTCAGGCTGGCCAACAGCCCAGGCCCACCTACCAACCAGTTATGTTTCCTTCTCAGCTTGCATTTCCACCTGGGTGCCAACAAACA